GGTGAGGGGGACTGAGAAAAACTGGGAGGGATTGGGAACACCAGGGCGGACAGTGGGGAAGGACTGGAATGCACTGTGAGGTAACTGGGATGTACTGGGAGGGAAGTGGGGATGGTGGGGCCACACCAGAGGAGAGTGGGATCAACTGGGGATGGCTAGAAGAGACTGGGGGGGGATTACTGGGACAGACTGGGGATACTGAGCAGGCACACTGGAGGGAACTGGGGGAGACTGGAAGGGTCTGGGGGGAAACTGGAGCATACTGGGAGGTATAAGGGACACTGGGGGGTGCAGTGACAGGGAGTGGGATCAACTTGAGAAAACTGGGAAGACCCAGGGCTGGGACTGAACTGGGCGGGACTGGGAGGCACTGGGGCCACACCCACCTGGAAGTATCGCCCTTGGTGGAAGCAGCCGCAGTTCCCCGGGGGGACGCAGCGGGCGCCGTCGAAAAGGAGCCCCTCAGAGCACTGACAGCCCTCGAAGCACCGCCCGCTGCAGGGAGGCGGAGCCGACACACCTGCGCAGGTGCGGTCACAGGTGCGGGCACAGAGCTGGTACTGGGAGCGGGGAGGGCACGGCAGGGCTGGGGGCGAGACAGAGGGGTCACCGAGGGGCACCTGGGGCCAAAGGGCTCAATGGGGGTCATATTCCCAACCCCAAAAATTCCTGCTATCCCAGATCCCTGACCCCCAAATCCCCAACCTCCAAAATTCCCATGCCCCAAAATTCCTGCCCCCCCCAAAATTCCCACCCCCAAAATTCCCGACCCCCAAAATCCTAACGCCAAAATTCCCGATCCCTAAACTCCTGCTATCGCAAAAATCCCCAGCCCCGAATACACAACTGCAAAATTCCTGCTATTCCCCCCCCAAAAATTCCCAACCCTCAAAACTCCCAACCCCAAAACTCCCAACCCCAAAATTCCCACCCCGTCCTCCTCCCCACCCCCCCAAATTCCCTAAATCCCCGTGTACTCACGACATCCCGTCTCCTCGCGCCACTCTCGGAGTTCCCCCCCCCGCCGCTTGACACGCGGCCGCGTATCCCTGGAATGCGGGGCAGGGATCGCCCCCCCCGTCCCCCCCCGCGCACACCTGGAGCTCGCACGTGTCCAGGTGCGCCCGGGGGGGGCACAGCGCTGTGACACCCCCCGAAGGGCCCCGCGGGGTCCGCCAGCACCGCGCAGCGCCCCGGGGGGGCACGGGAGGGTCCCCGCAGGGTCCGCATGTGTGCAGTCCGGGGGGGGGCGTCCCCAAAATTTTGGGGTCCCCGCAGAGCCCGCGCGGGGGTTGTTGCGCGGGAGGCAGCGTCAGCACCGCGTAGGAATCGCCGTCGTACAGGATTTTGGGCCCCCCCCCGCACGTGGAGCAGCCGGTGGGACCCCACCTGGGTGACCCCCAGGGAGCCCCCCCCTAGCCACAGGGGGAGCACGTGGCGCTCGCCGTCCACCTGCGGGGGGGGGGGGGGAATAAAGGGGGGGTTGGAGCCTTAAAGGGGGGGAACTCCCCAAAAATAGAGTTTGCAGCCCCACAACCAGGGTTTGTACCCCCAAAAAACAGGGTTTATGACCGCAAAAATAGGGTTTATAACCCTAAAAATAGGGTTTACACCCCCAAAACAGGGTTTGTATCCCCCCAAACAGGGTTTATACCCTCCAAAAATAGGGTTTATACCCCAAAATATAGTGTTTGTACCCCAAACCCCATGGTTTAAAATGCCAAAGAATACAGTTTATACCCCAAAACCCAGGGTTCATACACCAAAAAACAGGGTTTATAATCCCAAAGAAATACGATTTGTACCTCAAAACCAGGGTTTATAACCGCAAAAATAGGGGTTTCATCCCAAAACCAGGGTTCGTACCCCTACCAAAAAGGGTTTATACCCCAAGGTAGGGTTTGCATCCCCCTCAAACAGGGTTTGCACGCCAAAAAAGAACAGGGTTTATACATTAAAAAAAAAAAAAAAAAGGTTTGAACCCCAAACCAGGGCTTGCATCCCAAAGTCAGAGGTTTTACCCCAAACCAGCCCTTTCCCTGCTGCTGGGCCCACCAAACCCCCATTTACATCCTCTTTTTCCCCCAAAAACTGGTGTTCTCAATCCAAAACCAGGGTTTTTGCCCCCAAACCAGGACTTGCACCCCCAACCCCAGGGTTTGCGCCCCCAACCCAAGGCTCTCTTCCCCAACCCAAGGTTTTCCATCCCAAACCGGGACTTGCCCCCCAAACCCAGGTTTCCCCGCCCCGCACTCACCGTGACCTCCCAGCGCTGTCCCCTGTCCATGGCCACCGTCATCCCCTGCGCCGTCACCGTCACCCTCCTCACCTCCCCCTCGTGCTGCTCCAGGGCCACCTTGAGGGGCTGCGGCCCCTCCTCGGGGTCCCCCGCGTCCATCTCCAGCAGCGGGAGGGTGCAGGACCCCTTGAAGCCCCCCAGTTGCCCCCCGAAGGTGCTGTAGATGCCTCTCCCCAGGAGCTGGCACTGCCCGCAGGTGCTGCGGGGGTGGCACCCCAGGACCCCGTCTCGCACCCCGCACTCCTGGCCCGGGGGGGCACCCCGGGGTGGACTCACACTCCACGTGCCCGCCCCTGGAGCACACGCAGCGCTGGGTGCAGGACGGGGAGGGGTAGAACTGCGCCCCCCCGGGGGTAATAACGACCCTCCAGAGTGCAGCCGCACTGGGATAGCGGGACACAGGAATCCCCGCTTCGGAAATAACCGGGATCGCAGAAACAGCCCTCGGAGCACGGGGAGGACTCGGGGCAGGACGGCGGGCCGGACTCGTCCTGGCAAGTCGGGGGGCAGGGGGGGCCACACAGCTCGTAGTGCTCGTTCGGGGGGCACACAGGGCCTGCGGGGAGGGGAGAGGGGTGAGGAGCACAAACACATATGGACAGGCAAAAAAAACCCCGAACCCCCATGGACACCCCAGAAAATTCCCTGCAAACCTTCAAATCCTTATGGACACCTCAAAACCCTCACGGACACCCAAAAAAACCCAAACCCCCACGGACACCCCAAAACCCTCATAGACCCCCCAAACCCCTATGGACACCGCAAAAAAATTCTACAAACCCCCCAAGCCCTCATAGACACCCAAAAAAATCCCGTGAGAACCACAAAACTCCCATGGACACCCAAAAAACCCACAAACCTCCATGGACACACCCCCACACCTCCCCCTGCAAACCCTCATGAACACCCAAAAAAACAATCTGCAAACTCCCAGGGATGCCCCAAACCCCCATGGACACCCCAAAACCCTCATGGTCACCCCAAAACTCTCATGGACACCCAAAAAAACCCCTGCAACCCCCCCAAAACTCCATGGAGACCCAAAAATTTCCTTGCAATCCCCCAAAGCTCTATGGAGACCCCAAAACCCTCATGGACACCCAAGTCTCCCTGAGCAGACCCCCAAATCCTACGTGTGAACCCCAAACCCCCCATGTACACCCTGAAACTCCCTTGCCTGAACTCCACAACCTCCCATGCAAACCTCAAACCCCCTTGTGCAGATCCAAGACCTCCCCTGGACACCCCAAAATTCCCCAGGGAGACCCCAAAACCCCTCGTGGACACCCAAAAACTCCCCATTTACACCCCAAAACCACTGTGGACACTCCAAAACCCTCATGGACAACCCAACCCCTCTCCATGGACACCATAAATCTCCCCATGCAGACCCCAAACCCCCCCAACCAAACCTCAAACCCCCTAGAGCAGATTCAAAACCTCCCATGGACAACCCAAGACTCTCCATGTAGACCCCAAAAGCCCCATGGACACACCAAAACCCTCCCATGCAGCTCACAAAAACCCCACGGACACCCCAAAACCCCCATGCAGACACAGAATTCCCATTCACACCCCAAAACCCCATGGACAACCCAAAACTTGCCATTCACACTCCAAAACCCCCTCCATTCACACCCCGAAAATCCCCATTCACACCCCAAAACCACTGTGGACACCCTGAAACCCTCATGGACAACCCAAAACTCCCCATGCAGACTCTAAACCCCCATGGGCACCGAAAAAAACCCATTCACACCCCAAAACCCCTGTGGAAACCCCAAAACCCTTTTGGACACCCCAAAAGCCCCATGCAGACCCCATAATTGTCATGGACAATCCAAAACTCTCCTGCAGACCCCAAAACCTCCATGGACACCTCGAAACCCCCTTTGGACACCCCAAGCCCCCATGAACACCCCAAATCCCTCTGTAGCCTCAGCGCCCCGTACTGCAGAATGCGTGTGTGCGCCAGGGCCCCACGGCCACGCCGCGACTCTGGCACGCGCTGACGTAGGCGCCCACGGCCTGGCACACGGCGTCGTGGTGGCCATCGAAGAGACACGTGTCAAACAGACAGTCCTCCAGGAATGGGGCGGGGTCAATGACCTCGTGGCACGTGGCCAAGGGCCCCCGTTTCTTCACCAGGACCCCACAGTGCTTGTCCCCGCGGTAGGTGCGGCGTTGGGTGTTGCTGCACCCCTGGCAGCCCTCGGTGCACCCTGGGGAGCACCCAGGGACCTCGGAGACCTTCCAGCTGTCCCCAAAGTGGGTGTCATTGTGGGCGGGGTTGCCCTGGCGGGTGACGAAGTCATCGTGGGGGTCTCCGTTGGCGTTGCCGCAGAGGCCACAGACGGCACCTGCGAAAGTGCTGGGCAGGATCACGCGGGCGTAGCTGTGCCAGTCAAAGGTGACAGTGACGCCAAAGGCCGTGGTGATGAAGCCGTGGACACCCCGCAGGGACACCCGGAGCTCGTGGTGGGGGTGAGAGAAGGGCAGGTCCAGCAGGATGCCATCGACCTGTGGGTGGGAGGTCAAAGGATAGACTTGGAGACCACCCAGAGGGTATGGGATGGGCTTGAAGGGAACATGGATGGCCTTAAAAGCCACCTGAAGACCATACAGTGGCCTTGAAACCCAACATAACACCATACAATGACCTTGAAACCCACCTAAACACCTTAAAAAGACCTTGGACCCCCACCCAGGTGTCATGTGATGACCTTGAAACCAACCTGAAGACCATGCAAAGACCTTGAACCTCCCCCAAATGCCACACAATGACCTCAACCCCTCCCAAAACCCACGGAATGACTGAATCCCCCTCTCATCCCCTGTCTCTCCCCTACCTTGACCTTCTTGGGGTGCTCCTGGCTGAGGCTGAGGCTCACGTTGAACACCTCCAAGGTGACCACCTTGGTGAAGGACACCCGGTTGTCCCCACGGTGGTTGTTCTCCACGGTGACATTGAAGGGCACGAGGGTGGGGTCAGGGGAGCACAGCCCGGCCAGCAGGTACACACAGGTGCCCATGAAGTCGTAGCGGTGCCCGTCGAAGGTGGTGTAGTGGGGGTCCCCCGTGGCCACGCAGATGGAGCGGTTGGTGGCCACGCACCTCCTGACGCCCTCCACCACGGCACACACCTCACCTGACTTACACCTGGCCTCCTCACACACAACCATGCCCAGCTCCGGGTCACAGCGGCACCAGGAGCGGCATAAGTGGTCCCCCCAGAACTCCTCACCGGGGCGGTGGTAGCGCCCAGCACGGGTGCAGCCGCAGCGGGACACAGGCACACAGTGCCCCGCGCTCAGCACATGGCCGCGGTCACACGCACAGGACTCCACGCACGGCAGGGCACACGAGGAGGGAGCATCCAGGTCGGAGCAGGTGGCTGGGCAGGCGGTGCCACACGGCTCATAGTGGCTGTTCTCGGGGCAAGGAAGGGCTGGGGAGGGAGAGAACTGGGATGAGGGATGGAGAGAGTGGAGAGCATCTGATGGGAGGGGTGGTAAAAGGTCTGGGAAACCAGGAGAAGGGTATGGAGCATGAGGAGGAAAGTCTAGGAAGTGTGGAAGTGTGGGATGGGGGCTGGGATATGTGGGAAGGGGTCCGGGATACAAGGGATGGGGGCTGGGAACAGGCAGGACAGGATCTGGAACATGTAGGAAGGGTCTGGGCCATGCAGGATGGGGGCTGGGACATGCAAAGAGGTCTGGGAAACAGGGAATGGGGTCTTGGACAAGTGAGATGGGGTCTGGGACATGTGCGAAGGGTGTGGGAACAGGCAGGACAGCATCTGGGACACGTGGGAAGGGGTCTGGGACACACAGGATGGGGTCTGGGACACAAGGATAAGGGTGTGGGACATATGAGGATTTGGGAATTGCGGGATGGGGTCTGGGACATAAGAAGCAGAGTCTGGAGCACCAGGAGAAGGTTCTGGAGAACTTCCAGAAGAGGGATTTGAGGGCTTCACACTGGGATGGATCTCACTGCTCCAGAAGTGCCCCAAAAATGCCTCCCAGGACCCTGAAGTGCCCGTCAAGTGGCCCCTCAGACCCTCAAGGCCTGGGAGGATAGACCCCATGGAAAGGGGGGGCTCTGGGGGGCCTGGGGCCTCTGGGGGTCTAGAGGGGGTCAGGGAGGGTCTTAGAGGGGTCTTTAGAAATTTTAGGTAGAATTCAGGGAATTTTGTGTGAACTCCGGGGGATTTTGGTGAGATTGGAGGCAGGGTTAGGAGGAATTAAGGGATTTGGGGGTTGAATTAAGGGATTTTTGGTGATATTTGGGGGATTTGGGGTGGAATTAAGTAGTTTTGGGGCAAAACCAGGGATCTGGGGAGAAACCAAGGGGATTTTAGCTTGGATGAAGGGAATTGGGGATGGAATTGGGGAACTCAGGGGATTTGGAATGAAACCAGATAGGTTTTAGGAGATGGACCACAAAGCACCCCCATCCCTTACGGCATCCTGCTGGTGTCCTCCAGTCGCCCACGGTCGCCCCGCTCCTCCGGCACGTGGCTGCGTAAGTCTCCAGCACCCGGCACAGGACCTGCCTCGCACCGTGGCTCCGGCACAGCTCAGCCAGGCAGCTGCCAAAGAACTCCTGGGGCTTCACCACAGCATGACACGCCCGGAAGGGCCCCTGGAAGGACTTCTTGATGATCCCACAGTAGCTGTTCCCACCCCAAAGCTCCTTCTCCTCGCACACCGGACACTCCCCATCACAGTGATCCCAACAAAGGGGATCCTGGGCGTCAGGGTCAGAGCTTCTCCAGCCCCTGGCCCAGGCCACCAGGGCAGGGATGTCATCGCCGGCCTCGGGGATGTCGTCCAGGGGCTGCAGGTTGAAGTTCCCACAGAGGCCACGGACATGGCTGAAGAAGCTGCTGGGGAGGTCAATGAAGAGATGCCAGTTCCAGTCGTAGGAGACATGGAGCCCGAAATCCGTGTCCAGGGTGACGCGGAGCCCGCTGGGATGGATACGGAGCCTCCCATCCACCAGGAACACTGGGAGAAGGGCCAGCTCCCCGTTCACCTGCCAGCATTCCCAGGTATCCCAGGGTTGGATTCAACACACACACCAGCATTTCATTCCCAATATTCTATTTCCCACATATCCCAATTCTTTTTCACAGCATGTTCCCAACATTAAATCCCATCATACCCCAATGTTTTACACGTCACATATCCCAATATTTTATTCCTGCTATATTTTATCCCAACATTCTATTCCTATCATGTTCAAATATTTTATTCCCAAAATATCCTAACACCCCCCAGTATTTTATTCCTGGTGCATCCCAACATCTTATTCCTGAAATATCCTACTATTTTATTCCCTAGATACACCAACATTTTATTCCCAATTTATCCCAACATCTTATTCCCAACGCAGCCCAACATTTTATTCCCAGCTCATCCCAACATCTCATTCCTGGCATATCCTAATGTTTTATTCTAGACATATCCCAGCATTGTATTCCGGGCATATCCCAACATTTTATTACCAATAAATCCCAAAATCTTATTCCCAGCCTATCCCAACATTCTGTTCCTGACATATCCAAATATTCTATTCCCAACATTTTATTCCCACTGTATCCTGACATTTTATTCCTGACACATCCCAATATTTTCTTCCCAACATACCCAAACACCGTATTCCCAACTTATCCCAACATCTTATTCCTGGCACATACCAATATTCTGTTCCTGACATATCCAAGTACTCTATTCCCAACATTTTATCCCCAAAACATCCCAAAATTTCAACAATCCACCTCCCAGTCTGACTGATTTATCCCAAAACAACGCTGGTGCTGACAGAACCATTGGCCAGATGAAGGAGGATGTTGGGAAGTGCTGGATAAAGCAAAAAGTTGGGAAAAATCCCAGATTTCTCCCCTTTCCCCCCCAGCTCACCCGGACTTTCCCGTCCTCATTGTGGTGGAAGGACACGCGTTGTCCATAGACGTCAATGTTGACGACGGAGACATAGGACACGGATCTGATCCCGCCCCGGATGTCATTCCTGGCCTCCACCCTAAAGGGCTCCAGCCTGGGGTCATTCCCATGGGATTCAGCCATGGTGTAGGTGCAGGTTCCTTGGAAGTCGAATTCTAGCCCATCGAAGGTACGGAAGTGGGGATCCCCCCATGCCCAGCAGGTGGCCACCAACGCTGGGACACAGCGGGATTCGGAGCCACGGGGCCGGCACCGCTCCTTGGGGCGGCACCTCAGGGACTTGCAGGGGTCTGGGAAGGGAGGGAGAGAGGGGGGAATGTGGGATGAGCGTTGGGAGAAGCCATGGTTTGGGGGAAATGATGGGAAAATACTTGGGGGAAGTCATGGAAGGAACTATGGGATGGGAAAAACAATGGGATGGGAAAAATCATGGGAGAAATTATGGAAGGAACCATGGGATGGGAAAGACCTGGGAAAAAAACATAGGAAGAAGAATGAGAAAAAACGTGGGATGGGAAAAAACATGGGAAAGACCATGGAAGGCACCACAGGATGGGAAAACCATTGGAAAGATCATGGGGAAAACACATGGGAAGAAAAATGAGAAAAACCATGGGATGGGAAAAAACATGGAAAAGACGATGGGAAAAACCATGGGATGAGAGAAACCAGGGGAGGAACAATGGGATGGGAAAAGTCATGGGATGGGAGAAGCCATGGAAAGAACCTCCCCATCCCTGACCCTCAGTGCCAGGGGTGGGATCTGTTCCCTCTGCCTCCCCTTCCGGCAGGATTTTCCCCACTAAATCAAAATCCCCCTTTCCCCCATTTTCCCTCACTTTTGTTGATGCATCCCAAGACCCCCTCCCGAATTTCACAGGATTCATCCTCAGTGCAGGAGTGGTCGTGGCAGGTGAGGCCCTGGCCTGGGATACAGGAGCACCGGCGCCGGCAGCGATCCTGGAAAACCACCTCATGGGGCTGTGGGGAGAGAGGAAGGAAGAAAGGGAAATCCATGAAAATAGGGGATAAAAAGGAAAAACGCAGGAAAGAAGGACATAAAGGCAGAAAAATCGGGAATAAAATGATTGAAAAGCAGGGCAGAAAAGGGAAAAGTGGGGGGGAAATACTGGGAAAATAGACAGAAAAATAAGGGAAAAGGGGAAAATGCAGGGAAAGACAAATGCATAAAAATATCGAAAAATGCAGAGAAAATGCATGAAAAGAGATGCCAATGCATAAAATAGGGAAAAATATAGGGGAAAAAATTTCTTAAAAATAGAGAAAAAAAGGAATTAAATGCAGGGGGAAAAAAAAGACAAAAATGGGGGGGGAATGCTGGGAAACAGACAGGAGAATAGGGAAAAGGGAAAATGCGGGGAATAAAGATGTAAATGCATAAAAATAGGGAAAAAAGGGAGGAAGTAATACAAACTGTAAATCCATAAAACTAGGGGACTAAAGGGAAATGCCATGGAAAGAGAGGTAAATGCAGAAAGATATGAACAAAAGGAAAAAAATGGAGGAAAAATAGAGGTGAAACAGAAAAATAGGGAAAAGAAGGAAAAAAGTGCAGGGAAAAGGACGTGAATGTATAGAAATAGGAAAAAATGCAGGGAGAAAGGATGTAAATGCCTAAGAATAGGGAGGGAGAAAAGGGAAAATACCCTGGAAAAACTACCTTGTAGTATCGCCCATCCTCAAAGCACCCACACTGCTCCTCGGGAATGCAGCCCTGCCCGTCTGACACGGAGCCCTGGTGGCACTGGCAGCCCTCAGCACAGGTCTGGGGACACATGGTGGCCCTCCCGGCACAGGTGTTGGCACAGGTGTTGGTGCACAGGGAGTAGGTGCTGTTGGACGGGCAGGGGAGGGCTGGAATTTTCATGGAATCATGGATTGAGTTGGGTTGGAAGGGACCCTAAAGCTCAGCCCCTCACCATCATCCCACATCCTGAGTGTCACCGCTGTCACCCAACCCCAAAGAAGAGACATCCCCCCCAACTCCCAGCGCTCCAAGTGGGATCTCACCAGGGGATCTCCCCAACCCCAAACCAGGGACATTTCCCCCCAAACTCACGGCAGAAGAACGGCGTCCTCCAATCCCTCACAGTGACTCCAGCATCCTGGCACATGCTGACGTAGCTCTGGATGCTCTGGCACAGGGCACCCGTATCCCCTCCAGTCACACAGAGGTTATGGACACAGGATTGGGAATATGGGGTGGGGTCAACGACGCTGTGGCAGGAGCCAAAGGGCCCCTCAGGGGCTGTGAGGAGGCCGCAGTAGTTGGGTTTTTGGAGGACCAGCACCTTCTCCTTGGAGCAGGTGGAACACTCCTCGTCAGGACAGGTGTCTTCACAAGGCCTATCCTTGGTTTTCCATGCGGATCCAAAGGCTGTTGCATCCGGAGCCAGTTGGCCATTGGAGAGGTGGAAATCATCGTCACGTTGCCTGTTGTAGTTGCCACAGAGGCCACACAGGTGGCCCAGGTAGGTCTGGGGGACCGTGAGTGTCACGTGCTGGGCGAGGTTATAGCGGACGACGAGGCCAAAGTCAGTGCGGAGCAGGACCCCTGTCCCATGGGGATACACCTGGATTTGCCCCTCGCCCAGGATGGCTGGGAGGTGGTGAGAGATTGAATTCACCTGGGAAAGGGAAGGAAGAGTCCTCCAGTGAGGAGGTGGGACCAGAAATGTGGGGAAAACACCTTCCAACCAATGTTTTGATGCATTTATGGGTCTTGCTTGAAAAGTTGGGATGAATATGGATTGGGCTTGGAGACAGGGTGAGGTGTCCCCTCCATCAATGAAACACAATTTTGGGGGGAACCCATGAGATCTGGCCCATGAAGTGCCACCTTACCATGACATCTCCCCCTTTTCCTTGGGTTAAGGTCAAATTGACCCCATAGACTTCCACGGACAACGCTTGGATCCCGGAAACCTTTCCCTTCCTACGGGCCTCCTTCTGGATTGTGACCACAAACGATGTCACGTCACCCGTGCAGGTCTGGCTGAGGATGTAGGAGCAGGTCCCGGTGACATTGAAGGCCACCCCGTCGAAGGTGATATAGGCACTGTCTCCCGTGGCCACGCAGGTGCCGGATGCTGGCGGGGGACACTGGAAGATGCCATCAACGACCTTCCCAGGGCTGCCATCAGGACAGGAAATATTTTGGCATTCCACAGCACTGCTGGAGAGGCACCGGCACTCCTCGTGCTCTGTGGGGTAGAAGGTCTCATCCTCTTTGTAGTACATGCCGTGGTGGGTGCAGCCGCAGTGAGCTGTGGGCACACACTCATCCCCGCTGAGCATGAAGCCATCGTGGCATGCGCAGCCCTCGCGGCACCGCCCTGGGCACCCGGCGGAGCCGGCACCGCAGCTGTGCTGGCAGGTGTTAGCGCAGAGCTTGTAGGAGCTGTTAGGAGGGCAGGGAATATCTGCCGGGAGATAACAGGATCCATGAACAACCAGGAAATTCCCAAGCCAAACCCTGGAGGTTTCCCAGAGTTCAAATATGTCCAGCGATGAACATCACCAAACACAGAGTTTTTTAGCCCAATCTTTGTTTTCGTCCTTGTGGACATGATGAGGGACATCATCCAATGATAACCCAGTGCCTACCCAGTGATGATTCAATGATCATCCATAAGGAACATCCCAATGCACTTAAATAGGAATTTTTGCCCCTAAATCACATAATTTTCTCCATTTTCATGGAGAAAACTGGGACATTCCCTCAAGGAATGGGATCACTCCATACTGGATCCTCACATGACCTCCAGGCTGGATCCCTTTGCCCCAGTTCCGCTATTTTTGGTGCATTATTGGTGGTTTTCCCTCTAAATCATCCAATTTTTATCCAATACCAAGAAATTGGAACTCTGGGGGGAAAATGATCCCAGATAAAACAACTTCTTCCTTGCAAAGGGTTTACTTTGGGTGGAATAGGGGATTATGGGACCAACTGAGACTTTGCTGAGATTCCTACTGGTTTCCCACCTCTGGGTTGTTCCTACATGGATTTGGAGTGGAATTGAGGATCCTGCTGAAGGAAAACCCCTCCAATCATCCCAACTTACAGCAGAAATTATCCATCCTCCACCTCCCAACGGACACGCCGGCAGCCTGGCATGCACTGGCGTAGCTGGCAATGATCGGACACATCCCATCTTCCTGCTCCGGGAAGAGGCAGGAGTCCCGGACGCAGCTCTGGAAATACTGCTGGGCGTCCACGTGGTCATGACATGCTCCAAAGGGTCCATCCTTTTCCAACAAAATCTCACACTCCATCCCGGACACCTCCTGTTGCAGCCGTGGCACTGTGGCGGCACTGGAACATTCCGCCATCGAGCTCTCAGTGCATCCCAGGATATCAGCAACCTTCCAGCTGCTTCCGAAGGCAGCCGGGTCTGAGGTCATGTTGCTGTTGCTCATCCTCATGTCGTCGCTGGCAGCGCCGTTGAAGTTCCCACAGAGCCCGCACAGGGCATTGGCAAAGCCGCTGGGCACTGTCGCGGTGACATGGCCATGCCAGTCATAGGTAACAACAAGGCCAAAGTTGGTCTCTACCACTGCGTCCCGCCCGTGGCGATAGACAACAATCTGCTTGTCACCTTGGAGATATGGGAGGTTGACCAACCGCTCATCGATCTGGGGGAAAAACCATAAAAATGGACCAAATTTGGGGTTTGATGGGGAAATCCCAACTTATTTTCAACAGCCACAGCCCCCAAATGGCATTGGTTTAATTAAATATTAGATGGAATTAAGTTCTGGATTTAAGAGGATGAGGCGGTTCAAGTCCCAGTGGGAGGTTGACCAACCTCCATTAATCTGGGGGGAAAACCATAAAAAAGGAGCAAATCTGGGGTCTCACAGCAAATTCCAACTGTGTTTTCAACAGCTGGAGCACCCAAATGACATTTATTTAATTCTATTTCAGATTTAATCATTAATTAATGGGATGAGGAGGTTTGGTGGAAGGATAAAGGACTATATCCTGAGCTCACCATGATTTTCCCAGGCTGTTCCCTGCTGATGACAATGGTTTTGTTGTAGACTTTGACTGTCACCACGGCAATGGCAAACAGGCGCCCATCGCCCTGGCGGCCGTTCTGCACCAACACCTGGAACCCCACCAAATTTGGGTTGTCTTCACATAACCCAACGAACTGGTAGACACACGTCCCCTGGAAGATGAACCTCCTGCTGTCAAAGGTTTCATAGTGGGTGGCTCCAAAGGCGCTGCAGACCCCAAAAACTTTGGGATAGCAATCCTGGATTCCCTCCTGCACTCGACACTCCTCCTCTGCACCACAGCTGAAATTCCGGCACACTGCCTGCCGCTGCTCCGCATCGCACACGCAGCGCTGTGTGCAGGTGGGATCACCCCAGAACTCCTCTCCTAGGCCATGGAAGAGACCCCCGAAGACGCAACCACAGTCGGAGGGGGGAATACAGGTGTTGGCATCCAGGACAAGGCCTTCGTGGCACACACAGGAGTCCACGCAGGTGGTGCTGGTGGCACAGCTGGACGGCACAGCTGGGATGTTGCAAGTGGGGGGGCAGGCGGGGCCACAGGTGCTGTAGGTGCTGTTGGGAGGGCAGGTGAAAGCTGGAAAGAGAGGGAGACCATGGTCAGGGTGAGGTGAGACGTGGTGGGATGGACTTCCTGGACTATCTACACAGACTTCCTGGAGTTTCCATGGATTTTCTGAAGTCTCCATAGGCTTTCTTGATCTTCTACCTGGACTTTCTGAGTCTCCACAGACTTCCTGGAACCTTCCACCTGGACTTTCTGAAGTCTCCATGGACTTCCTGGACTTCCTGCTTGGACTTTCTAGAGACTCCATGGACTTTCTACATGGACTTCCTGGAGTCTCCCTGGACTTTTACAGACTTCCTGCTTGGACCTGCTGCCATAACCTTTCCCAGCACACCATTCCACAGATCTTGGGACCCACTTGAATTAAGCTCCGCCCACCCCAGGGAGTATTTCCACCCAACCATTCCCTCTACTTACGACATCCCATCCTCATTCTCCAACCAGAAACGTCGATCCCATTCTCTTGGCAGTCATCGGCGTAGGCCTGGAGGGCGTGGCACAGCACAGCGCGATGGCCGCCATGGGCGCACAGGTCATGGATACAGTTCTTCACGTAGATGTTGGGATTGATGGTGCCATGACAGCGCCGGAATGGCCCGGCATGCCAGGACAACACCCCACACCACCGCTCTGCCTTGTATATCACCTCCTCATCCCACCCACATCGCCCACAGTCCCCCTCGCAGGTGTCCTGGCAGTGACTGCTCCCATTGGTCACCTTCCAGCTCTGCCCCAGCTCCACGATATCCCACACCTGGCTCCCATCGGGAGCCAGTGCATCATCCCGGGGGTTCCCGTTGCTGTTCCCGCACAACCCACAGACTTTCCCGGAAAAAGCAGCTGGAATTTTGACCACCACATGATCGTCCCAGTCGTAGAGGACCTTCAGCATGAAATCTGATTGGATCAACACGGATTTGCCCTTCTGGTGAACCCGGAGCTTCCCGCAGGAGAGGGAGATGGGCAGGCGAGAGCTGTGGTTGTTCACCTGAGGGAGGTAACAACCAGCAAAACAACCAAAAAACCATCAAAATCGGACAAAATGTGGAGTTTTTGAAGATTTGTTTTTTTTCATGCAAGGCCTGTCTGCACACTAGCAAATCCCAGAATTATTTAGGAAAAGACCCTCAAGATCACCACTAAATGTGTAATTTTGGTGAAACTCCATAAAATCGCTTGGAATTTGGGAATTATGCTGATTTTTTCTTACCCTCACCATCCCATTTTCTGCCCGGACCACGGTGACAGTGATGTTGTTGATGTGGACATTGATGGAGCCAATGGAGGAGACTTTGGAGTTCTCCTTTTTCTCCTTTTGGACCTCCACAGAGAAGGCAGGAAAGGTGGGATCAGAACTGCAGAGGGTGGTCAAGGTGTAGGTGCATGTTCCCATGAAATCGAAGGTCTTCCCATCAAAACTCCGGTAGTGTGAACCACTGGTGAGCCAGCAGGTGGAGAAGGTCTCCTGGACGCACTTTGGTTGTCCATCCACCACCTCACACCTCTCCTCGCACATCAAATCCTCGCAGGAGACCGGCTCTGGAGCTGCAAAAAACAGGGAAATCCATGGATGGCCAACCGGACAATGCCCAACCACTGGGCTGACTCAACAATGGGCTCACTGTACTCACCGGCGATGCAGAGCCCAGCAAAGCCATACCCGGTGTGGCTCTCGAACCCAAACACCAGAAGCCCCATGGGCGCCTGTGGGTTCTCGGCGCTCCGTGTCTGGGGACTCACTGGGATGCCGGCCCAGGAGAACTCCGTGCCGGGAATGCCGTGCCACTTCACGGCAGCAGCTGGCTGGTGGTTGAGAGTGGTGGCAGCGGTGGCGGCGGTGGGCGCAATGAGGATGGCATGGTTGTAGTAGCCGGGCACAGTGCTGAGGTGGAATGCGGTGCAGTGGGCAGTGACAGGCGGCACGATGAGGAGGAAGGGGTCTTGCCAAGATGAGCCAGTGAAGAACAGCAGCACCTGCACTGCTGCCACCGCAGTGAGGTGCAGGGGGGAGTTGTGGTTCACCACCAACGCCCGTGCCTCCCCTGCTGCCATGGCCATGGTGACCTCCCCGCTGCTGCTGTTATAGGTGACGGTGTTGCAATCCTCCGTCACCACATAGATAAGGTCAGTGCCTGGCTGCACCGGGTTGGGTGGCACCACGTAGTTCCTCCCCCATGCCACTGTCGGCAGGAGCTGCTCCACCACGAAGTCGTAGCCTGCGGTCACCTTGGTGCAAGTGTGGCCACTGAGAACGGCCACAGGCGCGTTGGCCACCACAGCGGTGCCAGTGAAGTCCTGGCTACTCTGCAGCTGCAGGCTGTGGTAGGGCTGCAGGAAGAGGCGCAGCACTGCGCCCGGCACGTAGGTGTCCCCGGCATACTGGAATGTGGCCGTGGTGGTGATGGAGACAGCGGTGATGGCAGCACCGGCGACCACCACGAGCTCAGCCATGCCATAGGTGTCATTCCCCATGGGCGTCACCACATAGTACCTGGTGCCCAGGTTGGGCATGGGCAGCAGGGCCGTGGCACCCACTGTGTAGCCCTTGGCGCTCATGGCCACCACGGCCACATCGGCACTGGCCCGGACCACCACAGTCTTGTTGGCCATGCAGCTCCCTGTGAGCTCCAGGTGGGCGGGAATGGGCACAGCCTTGGTGACACCGGGCGGCACAGTGACCTCGCGGGTGCCGAAGGGACCGTGCAGTGTCACCGAGGCCACCCTGTCACCGGGGCCCTGCCGGGTGAGCAGCAGCTTCAGCGTCGCACTCGGGGACTCGTCGTCATTCTGGGGGAACACGGCCAGGAATTCCCGACCCCCCGAGCTGCAGCTGGAGAGAGCTGGGAAAACAGGGAAAGGGGCTCCTGGGTCAGTGGATAGCGAGGGAATAGGGGATTAGATGGATGGTTTTTATATAGAATTATATATGGGGCTTTATATAGATTTATATGGACTTGATAGAGAATTATATAGAATAATATATATCATATAGAATTATATAGATTTTTTTAGTAGAATTATATAGAACAATATCTATTATATAAAATTATAGACTTTTTTTATGCAGGGTTATATGCAATAATAAATACTGGATAGAATTATAGAGATTTTTAGAGATTATTATATAGAATATATATTATATAGAGTTATATTTTTTAGAGAGAATTATATAGAATAGTACCGGATTATATAGGGTTTATGTACGATTATAGAGAATAGTATCTATTATAAAGAATTATATAGATTTTTTAATGTAGAATTATATAGAATAATATCTATTATATAGAATCATATAGGGGGTTTTATGCAGGATTATATAGAATAATATCTACTATATAGAATTACGTAAATTTCTTAAAAGATTATATGGAATAATACCTATTATATAGAATTATATAGATGTTCTATAGGGAACTATATAGATTTTTACAGAGGTTATATAGAATACCTAATATATACAATTACATAGGTTTCTCATAGAGAATTATATAGAATAATATATAGAACCATATAGAATTTTTTATAGAGAGTTATATAGGTTTTTAATGTAGGATTATATAGAATAATATCTATCACATAGAATTATATGGCATATAGAATTATAGCAGGAATTGTATTTAAATGACATGAAAGGTGTAATGGCAGCCTTATCTTTAATTTATATGCTCTATTTTTATATATAATCACAGTAGAAATTATATTCACAGGTTATTACGCTGATAAATAACATATGTGAAAGCTATTAAACAATTTTAATAACTATTATTACTATCATTATTATATATAAATAAATTGTAAATTCATAATAAGAATTCTCTACTATTAATTAATTATATACAATTATAAGTAAAATGTTATATTATAATCCAATACAATTCTGTCATATTTCATTGTATAACAATATAAAATTGTCTATATTTAATTTATATTTATATATTATTCCATTTTATAATTATCTCTCAATATCTAGATGTAATTATAGATATAATTTGCTGTATTAATATACTGATAAATTACACAAACATATATTCGATATTTTTAGATATTATGCCATATTAAGAATAACTTAATTTTATATATCATATTTTTAGGTAATACAAGAGACATTATATTTATTTCCTATTACTATATTCATACATAGAGATTATATTTATTTATTATTTCGTTTATCTATTTATTATGATATTTATCTAGACATTACATTTACTTTCTATTCTTATAGTCATACATAACTGTAGTGGTGTATATTTAAAATTATTTAGTGTAAACTTGAAATTAATATACCCACAGCACCTAACAATAAAAGTATTAATAAGTAATAATGTTATTCAATTACACTACTTAATATTATTAGCCAATTAACACTTTAAATCTTTTGTATAAGTTAATATTTATCCATACAAATCTACAGAAATATATGAAATTAAACTACACAAAGAATAGGGATTTTAAAAGGACCAAAAAGGGATTTTAGAGATTCTTAGCAGAAAAACCTCCAAAAGATGATTATTGATCACCTTTTAATCAATTAATCAATTGATTAAAATTTGATTTTAAAAACCCCTAAATATATTTATATAAAAAAATGGGTGATAAGGATTTTTTTTAATTTAAAAAATAGGGAGTTAGGGGGTGTTGAGAGAAAAAAGCTGATTTTGGTCGGTTTTTTCTGAAAAAAAAATCAACAACTGGGAATTTGGGTGTTTGGGGTGACAAATTGGGAATAAAAAACAGGAATAAGAAACAAATTATAAATTATAAATTATAAATTATAAATTATAAATTATAAATTATAAATTATAAATAAGGGATTTTTTTCCTAAAAAGGGGGATTTTGAAGAAAAATCAACAGCAAAATAAGGCATCATGATTTTTTAAACTGAAATAAAGTGACTAAAAGGGTTTTTTTCTAAAACAGAGTTCAAAAGAGCTTTTTTTCCCCTAATAAATTAAATAAAAAGAAAAAAGGACTCAATTAAAAAAATTAAGGAAATAAAAGGGATTTTCCTTTGAAAATAATTTAAAGAAAGGGCTGAATAGGATTTTCTTCATGAAAATTAGAAAAAAACCCCGTGAAAATACAGAATAAAAGAGATTCTTTTCCTTAAAAAATAATAATCTTTTCGTAAAATAGAGCAAATAAAAGGACTTTTTTCATTAAACCCCCCCCCTAAAAATGGATTTTAAATTTTTTTTAATAGATGTTTTTGTTTGTTTGTTTTTTCCTGAGGAAAAACAAAAATACTTTTTTTATCTCAAAAAACCCCACCCAAACCCCAAAATATTCAGGACAAAGTGCACTTTTTTCTGTAAATAGTGAGAAAAAAGGGCACTTTTTCCTGAAAATAAAGGGAGTTTTCATGAAAAAAGAAGATTCTAAAGGCTCTTGGATGTAAGGAATTACTAAAAAATGTGGGGGTTTGGTTAAAAATAATAATTTTCTGCCCTTAAAAGCTCCAAAATATACCCAAAATGCAGGAAATTTGGGTTTTTTGGGGGGGAAAACGGAGGTTTTCTCACCACAGAAGGAAAGGAGGAGCCACCAGGTCCCACGCAAAGCCATTGCTGCAAAAAACACCCAAAATCACCAAAAATTACCCAAAATCCCTGTTTTGGGGGGAAAATCCATGTGAGCCCAGAGAGGTCACCAGAACCCCCAAACAACCCCCAATTTACCCCAAAATGGCTTTTTTTTACCCCATGGAAACCTGTTTGGGCTTATTTTGGCCCCTGTTGCCACCAAATCCACCCCAAAAGCTCCAAAAATTATGAATTTTGTTCAAAAAATTGGGTCAAAATGGGGGGTTTTAACCAAAACTCCCCACATTTGGGGTAAAATGTTTTTTTTTCCCTAAATCCCTCAAAATTGGGTCAAAATGGAGCTGGGATAACCATCCACACCCACCACTACCACCAGTTTTACCCTTTGAGGCCACCCTAGAGTCCCCATTTCCACCAAATCCACCCCAAAACCTCCCAAAAATGATGAATTTTGCCCCCACAATCCTCCAAAATTGTGGTAAAATGGGGTTATAAAGCCAGGACAACCCTCCCACCACTCAACCTCCCCCCCTTGATGCCACCTCAGTTCCTATTTCCACCAAATTTACCCCAAAACCTTCCCAAAATTACAAATTTTGTTCAAAATCCCAAAAGTTCAGGTCAAAATGGGGGGGTTTTGCCCCAAATCTCCCAAATTTGGGGCAAAATGGGGTTCAACAGCCAGGACAACCCTCTCCCCACCTTGTCCCACCCAACCCCCCCAAATCCTCAATTTGGGTGCAAAAAGTGCAAAGAATCCCAATTTTGGGCATTAAGAGGGCAAAAAATCTGAACTTCGGGAAAAAGTGGACAAAAAATCCTGATTGGGGGCACAAAAAGGGTGGAAAATGCCCAATTTGAACACAAAAAGGGCAAAAATATAAAATTGGGGGGAAAGAATGTGAAAATCTAAATTTTGGACACAAAAAGGGGAAAAAATTAGATTTGGGGAGGGAAAATGGGCAAAAAAACCTCCAAAATTTGGGCACAGAAAGTGTTAAAAAAATCCGAAATTTGGGATGAAAAAGGGGTTAAAAATATGAAACTTGTGGGGGAAAAGGGGCAAAAATCAGTAAACTGAGGGGGAAAAAAAGGAAAAACTCTGAAATATGGGCAGAAATTTCTGCACACCCCCAAAAATGAGGAAAAATGGGGAAAAGCAGGGAATGAAGGCACTCACCGGCCCCTGAGCTCCCGAATTCCCGGGATCCTATGGACACGGTGTTTGGCCCCAAATCCATCTTTTATACCCAAACAGATCTCGACTGGAGCTGCTTCCAGGGGCAGATTTGGGCCAAAACCTGGGAGTTTGGGCCAAAAACTGCAGATTTGGGCTGATACAGCAGAATTTTGGGAATGGGGGGAGCCAAGGGGGAGTGACCCCGGATTTCCAGAGAATTCGGAAAGTGGCAGCTGGATCCTGTCACTGAGGAGACGTCGGAGGGGGGTAGGATTCCCAGGGATATCACGACAGGTGTGGGACCCTCGGGGATGTTGGGACAGGTGTGGGACCCCCAGGGATGTCTTGAGACCTCCAGGGATCCTCCCAAACCCCCCGAATTCCCAGAATCGCTGCCCCCTCGGAGCCCTCTGCCCCCGTGACCCCGTGGGGAGGGACGGACCCAAATACGGTTGTTTTTTACCCAAAATGAATGACCCGAGTCCCAGCAGGGATTTCCAGGGAACGGGGAATTCTGGCCCAAACCCCGGGCAGGACTGAGAAAAACCATCTGGAGCCGGGAGGGAAATCAGGGAATTAAAGGTGTTTCTCCTTAAAATGGAGATGGAAAAATGGGGAACTCCCGAACCCCACGGGGACCCCAAACACCACTCGGGGACCCCTCAAATTCCCCTCCGGAATCCCTCACCCTCTGGACCCCCCAAACCCCTCCAGAAACCCCAAAGCCACACAGAGACACCCCAAAGCCCCTCAGAGACCCCCAAAACCAGTCAGGGAAACCCAAACCACCCAGAGACCCCCAAAACCACTCAGGGACCCCCCAGAGACCCCTTGGCCCCTGGACCCCCCAAATCTTCTCCGGGAACTCCAAACCCACAAGGTCCCTAGAGGTCCCTGGGAGAGTTTTACGGTTTCCCTGGAGGGGTCTGCGGGTCCAAGGGGGACCGGGCACGGAGGTTTTGGGGGTCCTTGGGAGGGTTTGGAGTTTCTAGAGGAGATTTGGGGGTCCCTGTTGGGGACTGGGGGGGCTGAGAGGCACAAATCCTCAGTGGGAGCCCCAAAGCCCCTCAGGGACCCCCCAAATCCTCTGTGGGAGCCCCAAATGCCCTCAGGAGCCCCCCAAATCCTCTCTGGGAGCCCCAAAGCCCCTCAGGAGCCCCCTAAATCCTCTCTGGGAGCCCCAAAGTCGCTCAGCGACCCCCCAAATCCTTTATGGGAGCCCCAAACGCCCTCAGGAGCCCCCTAAATCCTCTCTGGGAGCCCCAAACGCCCTCAGGGACCCCCAAATCCTCTGTGGGAGTCCCAACCTCCCTCAGGGACCCCCCCAAACCTCTCCCGCCCTCCCCCCTTTCCCTTCTCCGGCCTCCCATTGCCCGCAGCGCCCGCCCGTCATCTCCTGCAGCCAATCAGCGACCGAGAAGGGGCCGTTGGGGCGGGGCCTGGCGGAGCGCGGGCCATGGAGCGGGTGAGGGCTGAGGGGACCCCGGGGACCGGGGGGAATTTTGGGGGGTCCAGGGGGGGATTTTGGGGGTCCCGGGGGGGCGATTTTGGGGGTCTCGGGGGGCGATTTTGGGGGTCCCCGCATCACCCTCCGCGTCCCCCCCCAGGGACTCGGCCTGGAGCAGCGAGCGGAGCGACTGGTGCGGAGGAGGTGGGGGAGCGGCGCGGCCACCAAGCGACTCCCGGGCCTCCCAGGATCCCCCTCAGTTCCCTGCTCTGCCCTCCCAAGAGCCCCTTGGGGACGCCCAACTGCCCCTCCCGACTCCAAGTACTTCCCCCCCCGACCTCACAACCCCTCAAATGCCCCCGGGGTCCCCAAACCCCTCGCGGGGAGGCCGATGGGGGGGTCGGTATTTGAAGAGTCCCCAACCTGCCCTTCCCCCCCCAGCCAGGTCCTGCTCAGGCCCCGCCCCCGTGGGCCAGAGGGGGCGGAACCTCCGCTCAGCTCCGCCCCCGCAGGCCCCGCCCCCGTAGGCCCCGTCCCCGATGACCCCCTCATCCAGTGGCGTCTGAGGCGGCGCCGTGGGGAGGAGCCTGCGCTGGACACGTGCCCGGTGGGCGGGGCGACGCACTGGGAGTCACGTGAGCCCTCCGAGACCCCAATCAGGAGCCGCTTCTGCACCTCCCGCCGCCAGGGGGCGACCTCGTCCCGGCCCGATTCCCAGGAGTCCTTGCAGTGGAAACCATGCCTGCGGTCACGTGATGCCACTGGGGCCCTATGGGGGGCGCCATGTTGGGTGTCACGTGATCGTCAGGACGCTCTGCGGCCAATCAGGAGTGGCGTCCAGGATGCCCAGCAGGGGGCACCCTCACGGCAGGCGCTGGGTGAGGGGAATTGGGGGACTGAGGAGGAATTGGGGGATATGAGGGGGCACTTGCGGGGCCAGAGAGGTAATTGTGGGGCTGGGGGTTCACTTGTAGGGCTGGGGAGGGAATTGTGGGGCTGGGGGGTCACTTTTGGGGTTGGGGGGCAATTGTGGGGCTCAGAGTGATCAGTTATGGGGCCAGGGGGGCACTTGTGGGGCTGTGTGGGTGAATTGTGGGGCTGAGCAGGGGCACTTGTGGATTGAGAGGCACTTGGGGGGTTGAGGGGTCACTTATGGGTCTGGGGGGCAATTGTGGGGCTGGGGCACCCCTTACAGGGTGGGGGGGGTACAGTGGGGTGGCCCCCCCCATGACCTCCGGCTCCCCCAGTTTGTCCCCAGGACCCTGTCCTACGGCTGCTGCGGTGCCACCGCCGGGCCCTACGGGAACAGCTCTGGTATGCCCCTCCCAACCCCCTGATTTTGGGGGTTCCTCCTGCCCCTACCCCTTCCCCACATCCCTCTGACCCCCTTTGCTCTCCCCTTTTTCCCCAGGGCTGTTGAGACCCTCCTGGAGCCCACCAGGTTCCCCCCCCAATCTGGGGGGGGCCAATAAAGCAATGAAACCCCAAAGCTGCAGCTGCACGGACCCCAAAATCCCCTCCCCCACCTTTGGGGTCTCTCCAAATGCCCCAAGAGTGTTGGCTTGGGGGGTGTTGGGGGTCTGGGGGGCTTTTGGGTGTGTTTGGGGGGGAGTTCTGGGAGTCTGGTCATGAAGAAGTATTTTGGGGAGGGATTCTGAGGGTGTTGGGGGAGGGTCTGCAGGGGGTTTGAGGGTCCCTGGGCCATTAGCAGGGGGCTGTAACTGGCCGTGGGGTGTTTTGGGGAGCCCAGGATGGGCTTGGGGGCCCTGGGGGGGTTATCGGGGAGAGGGCCTCACCTGGCTCCTCCACCTTCACCTTCACGGCCAACATGGGGTGGGGGGACACCAGAACGCCCCCCCCCCCGGGGGAGGGGGGGAAGAGGGGGGGCCCCAAATGGCCCCCCGGGCCCCCCCCCCCCCCCCCCCCCCCCCCCCCCCCCCCGTTCCCTCCAAACCGCTGCCTCCCATTGGCTGCCGTGCCCGCCCATCAACACCGCCAACCAATCAGCACCCGAAAATGTGTGTTTGGGGTGGCGCCTTTGGCTGAGTCACTTCACTTCCTGGACTACAACTCCTGTCATGCGGCCCCGTTAGAGACAGGGTTGTCCCTGAGTGCCCCCCAAACAGCCCCCAAATTCCCTCCCCTAAAGCCCAAGGGCCCCCCAGGCATTGCAGTGATGATGATGATGGTGATGATGGAGGGAAAGCCATCCCATCGCAGCTCCAGGAACAGTTCAGCCTTTAATTAAAACCTCAATTAAAACAGCAATTGCTGCTGTGGGGGGAGGAGGAGGCACAGGCCCATATTCCATGGGGTCAGTCCCGAAGGAACTGTTCCAGGTCCACATTCCATGGGGTCAGTCCCGAAGGAACTGTTCCAGGTCCACATTCCATGGGGTCAGTCCTGAAGGAACTGCTCAAAGCCCACATTCCATGGGGTCAGTCCTGAAGGCACTGCTTCAGATCTCTTTCCATGGTCCTTTACCTGCCAGGCACTGGCAGGCACTGGGAGCTACTGGGCCCATGCTGGGAGCCCAAAAGGGACACACTGGGAGCAACTGGAAGATACTGGAACCATACTGGATGTACTGGGACCACAACTGGAGCAACTAGGATCATACTGAGAGCAACTGGAACCATGCTGGGTTCATACTGGGAGTGTCTGGAACCACACTGGGGGCAACTGGTACCATACTGGGACTGACTTGGACTGATGGGGATCATACTGGGAGTGGCTGGGATCATATTGGGATCATTCTAGTAGTGACAGGAATTGACTGGGACCATTGTAATTGTGATTGGGATCAGCTGGGATCATACTGGACTCACACTGGGACTGACTGGAAGTCACTAGGATCATGTTGGGGGTTAATGGGATCAAACTGGGATCATACTGGACTCACACTGGGACTGACTGGAAGTCACTAGGATCATATTGGGGGTTACTGGGATCAAACTGGGATCATTCTGAGAGTGACTGGGATCACAGCGGTAACATTCTGGTAGGGATAGGAATTGACTGGAACCATTGTGGGTGTGACTGGGATCATACTGGGAGTGACTGAAATCATACTGGGATTGTATTGGGAGTGACTGGGGTCATATTGGACTCACACTAGGAGTGACTGGAAGTCACTAGGATCATATTGGGGGTGACTGGAATCAATCTGGGAGCGACAGGGATCACACCGAGACCATATGGGGACCATATGAGGATCTCCGCCGCGCTGGGTGCCGCGGGGCGTGGCCAATGTAGATTTATGCTAATGACTCCGCGGCCGCCGCTACACCATCGAGTCGCGGCCTCCGGGCGGGGCGGAGCGGTTGCGGGCCGCGATTGGCGGGGGCGGCGCGTGCGGAAGTGACGTTGGAGCGGCGCAGAGCGGCGGGAGGTTTGAACGGCGGCGGGTCCGGGGGGTCCGGGAGTGACGTCCCGGCGGTGAACAGGGGGGAATCACACCCGGGAAGGGCGGGGGGGTCTCACCGGCTGCCTGTACCTGCCCTAAGCCCCCTCCCCGGTCCCCCCGGGTCCTCTCCAGCGTCCCCCTGACTCCCGGACCCCGCACCGAGCCCGCGGTGGGTGTGACCTCGCCATGCCGCGCCCCAAGCCCACTCCCCGACGGCGCCGCCCCCCTCCAGCCCCGCCATCGCCCCCCCCGCGCCGGCGGGCACGGAGTGAGTGTGGGGGGATACCCCTATGGACACCCTTATAAAACCCCCTAGAGCCCACCATACCCCCTATGGACCCCATATGGACCTCCTATAGCCCCCATATCCCCTGTTCCTATAGACGCCCATAAATCCCCTATAGCCCCTATACCCTGTCCCCTATAGCCCCCCATACTTGCTGTTCCCTAAGCCCCCCATAGATCCCCTATAGCCCCCCCCATACCAGCCATCCCCTGTAGCCCCCTATAGATCCCTCATACCCCCATGTCCACCCAGGCCCTATAGAAATCCCTTATACCCCTCATAGCCCTCTGTACTCCCCCATAGCTCCCCACTGTCCCTCTCACCCATGCAGCCCCCCATAGATTCCCTGTAGCCTCCTGTGTCTCCCCAGGCCCTATAGATCCCCTAAAGTCCCCTATACCCCTCCTGTGCCTCCCAGGCCCTATAGATCCCCTATAGATTCCCTATAGCTCCCATACCTCCCTTTGTCCCCCTCCAGGGTTCCGCCCGGGCCAGCGGGCACTGCAGGAGATCCGCCGCTACCAGAGCAGCACCCGCCTGCTGCTGAGGCCTCTGCCCTTCTCACGGCTGGTGAGACCCCAAACCAACCCCTGGGAATGCCCCAAACCAACCCCTGGGAATGCCCCAAACCAACCCCTGGGAACCTCCCAAACCCCAACACCCACCCT